ACTCAGGCGCAAGACGTCAGCTAACGCTGTCGAGTATACACCTATTACAATGCATATTGCTACAACTGCGGCATCTCTATATTGATCTATTTTGTGCCTGATGCCTGGGTTGACATTTTTTATTTGCACTTGATCTACACCAGCTTGGTTGGATTCCTTTGTATTTGCCTACTCTGTCCTGGATCTTCCTTCCCCAGCTGAAGTACTAGAACAAAATCTGCAATTGTGCACTGGAGACATCAGTTTCACTCCCACCACTCATCATGCCACCACATCGATGGGGTGGCAATGAACAAGTAATAATAGCGCCCATACTAAATGATATTGTTATGGTCTAACTACTAGAGGAGCCCAACCATACCACTAATAGCGAATACAGCAAACGACACACAAGGAATTTGTTCTCAAGTCAAGTCGTCTAACACGGACAACCTTGTACTTATCAATGGACGTTCAAATCGTGTGCACACACTTGTGCCCACTCTTCTTGATCTCGCTTCCCCGTTGCGATCCCGGATTCTGGGACGTGCTAACGAATGAGCGCCTATACTTTGAAAATGATTAGTTCCGGACATGCTTGGAGAAACTGAACATCAAGAAGACATCAATCGCCATCTACTACTGAGAAACGGATTGATGAAAATAATTAATAGGATGATTAAGGTATGTCTGGAGTCAAAGAGGGGAGATTGGAAAGATGTTTTACCACTGCTCCTGCTATTTCACAGGGGTCCAAGCAAGCAAGAACCAAGAGATCCCCACTACAGTTAATGTATGGCTGCAGAGTTTGACTTCCTATGTATATGGAGGTGAGAGTATGGCCGACTTCTCAGTTACCGCCAATGGGAGCGTGGAACAGTGGAAAGGTCGCGAACAGAAATCTGAGGATAGTTTAGGACCGGGTGATGATGAAACCCCGAGTAAACATGAGAAAACCGTCCAGTAACTTTGCAATCTATTCGAAGGTGAAGTATGGAGATTGCCACCGTTCTACAGCATGTGGCCCAGGGGAGAGGAAACTCCTGCCGTCTGACCTGGTCGATCTGCTTTGGTCCATATATATTTTCACTCGACAGGGAGATAAGTGGCGAGTTCGTGCTAACTAGTTGACAAAGTGATGCAAACAAAAAGACACTATGGAGCAGCCCCGCTGGTCGGATAGACTGCGTGCGAATTGACGGTCGCGGAACATTTGGGGCGTATGGTACCCTACTAATCAGTAGTATGCGTAACAACAAGTAACTATGTGGAAATCAGCGAAATCATCTTTCACTGCAGACGAACGACGTATAGTACATAAGTCGACTACCATCGATACGTTGTGGATAAAGGTGCACAGCGGAACAGGGAATCAGAACGGTACCACGAAGGAAGTGCGCAAATTGCCCCGACTTCTATGTTCAAACTAGTATGGTATCTATACGTGAGTTCTCTAATTACACAATTTTTCTGCATCGCGTTACGTTCTCTTCACTAGGGCCGATGGAATTGTTGCACATAGTTGCTATGGGGCAGGTTCGTCTAAACTGACCTTTCAATTATCAAATCGCTATACCGAACATTTCGAAGGGTATATAATGTTAACCTGCTGTTCACGTTGTTGCCATTAAGCGGGCAATAAAATTGACCTAACTGTTAAAGGAGGAATCTCAGTCAAATGGGTCAACACCCATTGCATACACCTATCCTTATGTGACTTATACCGAGGGAACCAACTGGAGTATGGCTCCCAGATTGAATTGATGTGTGTGCCAATGGGTTCCGGGTGGAACCGCCCAGCATCTTTACTCCTCTGGACTTCTCTGTTCGCCTGCACATCTCTACGCCGATCGACATACCTATTAACCACCGGTCACCTAACAGAGCTGGATTCACTGTTTTGGTTTATGCCGTACTTCTATTTTCCGCTTTCTTCTTTTCGCTGAGACTGTCGTACTACGATAGTTGAATTCAATGCTGTGTTTCGAGACTACTTACCAGCCTTAAGGAGCCTTGGACGTCAGATCTGAACTCCCTTGTTTTATCACATCGCATGCATCTGGTAGCTTTTGTCCTCTGATCATGCTTTTCATGTCCATCTATAGCAATGGTTCTCAACCCTTTTGAGACTGTTACCCACAAAGCAGGTTCGCTAAAAACAATTAACCCTCAAAAATTTTAGTTTAGAATGCTAGTTGCCTATAAACCATTGCATTTTTGCTTCAATTACTTTCCATCAATCAAACAAAGAAAACACCTATTTTTGAGCAATTTTTGAATATCGAGAGGTGATATAAATTAAAGATACGGTTGCTATTGATTGTTTCTAACCATTTCTGGTATATTTGACGCGGTTTCGACTAATGCACACCGTAGCTCGTGCTCCAAGTTCACTTGGTTCCTCCTTTTGCTGTGTGATCCCTCACCAAACATCCATATAACTCAATGACTTCTCATTTGTTTTAACCATCCCCTCCACGTCCATCCTGAATAACAGCTCTCCATCAATAATTCCTTAAACACTAATCGGCTGTTTTGTTCTTTCTGCCTTGCCAACAGTCATTGGCTCCTTTACTTGGTCGACTGACCCGTGCTCCTCCCATCTTAGTGTTCACCCAACTCTGCAATTTGACCCGTTGAACAACTGCCTGGCTCAAAAGAACGATCGATGACCTAACCGATAGTGACGCCATCTTGCTGCGCTGCTTTGCAGGCTTATATTCGTATTTCAGACAATAAAATTTATTGCCGAAAAATGTCCACTTCACTGACCACTCACTTGTGATTAGTCACTGATGGCCAGTCAATAGTTATTACTTACTTACTGTTAGTTAAGTAGTAGTTAATTAGTTGGCTAGTTGCCTATTTCGATGTAGATAAATGTGTTATTACTTTTGTTTGGTGACAGATTGATGACCGAATCCTCGTACTTATATTTATCTCGGTAAAATTCCATTTCACTTCCTTGGGGGTAATTATCTTCAGGTTGAGAACCAATGATCTATTGGCTGTTTTTCAGGCGCGCAGCTTTGGTTCACTTTTTTAAACGCTTTTTTTCACGGTTTGCTGTAGGTAACGCTGTTTCTATGAGGGTTAACCTTCTATGGGTTAAGCACGTGTCAGCACCGATCTGGTGTTGAATCGCGCTTCCAAACGTGTCCTAGCCTATTCTGCAGGAGTCACCGCATTTCGGTCGTGTAGGTCACAAACGGGATAAAGGCAATTAACGCGTCACCTGGAGCATAAGTTACACCATCGACCACTCTATCACACACACACATCGTGGAGGCTATGTAGATAGGTATCCGATTCTCAACCTCGGCATGGAATGACCTCATCTTTGCGTGCAACACCGCTCGCCGGAAAGTGGGATGCAGTTATCTGCATCGCGTTCTCTTGGGCTCCTTACAGCGAATGACTGTACCTACAACTCCATGAGATATCACGGACTGGCCTCCATGGTCTCCATATGTCCGATTATTCGTCAGCCACGACGCATCACCGGTCGGTAGCTGAGTGGTTCACGCGTTTGCCCGTTCAAGCCGGCATTGTTGCTCGTTGCTTCACAGTATTCTCTGCCTGTACGAGACTTTTGATCGTGGCGAAACATCAGTACTTAGTACTGGCGTTCTGTTGATAGCTTTGCTTCGTCTTTCTTGGATCACGCATCAAGTCAGTTCACATCCTTGTCTCGCGTACGGGGATCGTCTTGTGAGAACTTTGAGACGATCAGTTCATCGGTTATTCATGCACCATGCATTCATACTCAGGTCGTGCGCAATCCTTGTTTATATTTAGTTTTTTTTGCGTGCAGGCTCCATATCTTTCCAACACGTTTCGTTGTTTCGCCTCCCTTTCTGACCGTCTTTACATACCAACTCGTGTGTGTATGCGTGTGTGTGTGTGTGTGTGTGTGTGTAGATGGTTTATGTCCATCGTGTCTGGATTTGCAAATTTGGAAATCATTTCACGTAACCAAATGGGATCCAACCTGACACCTTTACAGCAACCACGATAATTGCGCTCGGAAAAGCCCAAGAACCACTTATTGAACGGACGTTAAACTACTGCCACTTCTATTCCATCACCTTTTTCTCTAGCTGCCTGGCGCTTATCTTATGAACAGCGCGTTCGGATTCCATAAACAATCTTGAGTAAAATCTTCGTTTAATGAGACCATATCGTGGACGATGAAGAAGGCCCGCATAATCGAGAAGCCGGTACCGACGCCTCGTTTCCATGTGACGACCACAGCCATTCGTGTGCGGCTTATTAATAATCGGAGGCCACCGGAATTTAGACAACTTCGAATCTCAGGACGTGAAACAACACATCGTTCAGCTAGAGGAGAGAGAGAACAATGGATTTAGAATCCTGTTCTGGAAAACCCTGACCTGCGCTTGATCCCATACCGTTTATTCAGACCGATTGTGTGCGCTTGGTAAACTGTTGATCTGAAATGCCAAAGGACGGGAACTTAATCAGTAGCTTGGGGTAAAACGGTTGATCTAAGGCGTTCTCTACGTTGAAAAAACGATAATCAAGATACACCCCGAATCTTTCTGTAACGTCAGTTAACGCCTTTGACGGGATTCTACCCTAAGGAACCTGTGTTGATAGGTATGGATAAGATTTCGAGGCAAATAAAAGTTGGGCACTTTCTCTTTGGCTAGCTTTTCCACAACGTTTGATGAAAGTAGTTTGTGGCTGTCGAGACGACGTTTGTCTCTCGGCATAACTGCTGCATGTATGCAGGTACCATGGTATGTGTCGCTCTTTTTAATGTGTATGTACATAAGAAGATGTTTGGCATGTCGGAATCATTCGGTATGGACACCAGTGCTAGGACAGTGAGACATCTTCGTGCATGTGCTTAGGTCAAATGTACTACCGCAGACATACTGACTTATCGGCCACATTTGCTTTTCCTTCTTCTACTCCATGTCTTCCGGGACATGGGGGAATGTCAGGGATATTTTTACACCTAATCACACTGAGCGTTGCTCTAATTTACTTTCCAGCCTGGCTCACACGGTTCCTCTGGTGCCCCGGCTGGCTCACACTCCGGCGCATCTCCATCTGGCCGGTGCGGACGTGGAGGCAAGTCTCATCATCATCACCAACATCACGGGACACAGCAGCGACAGCGTTCTCAGCCACCAACAGATCAACCTTCACTCTCCGCCACTTGCTACTCCAATTCGGATGCCGAGTCCGTTGGAGTTGGCTGGGCAGGAGCCTGCCAGTTGGCGGCCTCCGATTTGAATCGCGTCCGATTGCCCATGTCAGCAGATACTCAGTTGGTCAAAGTATGGGACGTCAATATTCTATGGACACTTGACGTGAGTTCTGCTATGCCGTCTTATTCCTTCATTTCACGAACATTGTATCTCGCATAAAAAGCACGGATTGTGTGTCCATCGCGTTTTCACGAGTAAAAACTACCGAAACTTGTTATGGAATTCGAGTCGACTGGCAAATGAGGTGGGGCAAGATAGACACAGTGACTTCGTTCTTTATCTTATTACGGAACACCGTCTGACTTCAGACATACAACCGGATCACATGAGCCTCTGGACTGTAGCGTCTCTGGGCGTGTCAATAAAGTTCGCTCTTTTAATTATATCTGCTCCTGACCCCTTCTCCTTTCCGTGATGTTCTGCCTTGTGTTGATCCATTGGTGTCTGCCTCTCCTCTGTCTTTTTAACGAGACCATTCTTTTCTCATGGTATGGCGTTTAGTCTTTTTTCCAAGGTAAGAATGCACTTTTGTGCACCCGCGACGGGCGAATTTTTCGCCGTGACACATTCGATCGATATTGCAAAAATGCTATTCAACGGTGACAGAACAACAGCAAAAGGAAAGGGTAAATGCAAAGCACAATCTCACTGACAGAATTTACCGGCCGGTTCTTGAATAATAATATCGTTTTAGTCAAATGGAAATCTTCCTATTTTGGGATTAACTGACAATGTATAAACACTCGTGCGAGCATATATTGCTCCATACTTTTGTCTGGTCGAGGAAGTAGCTAAATATTTGGAAAGTGCTGTGTGAAGAGACTGGTTAGTGTTAGAGACTATTTTGAAACAAGTTTAGTGTATGAGTTTACGTGTTAGCCAAAGTAGATTTTGGAATACCACTGCAGCCAGACATGTGCTTCTGCGACCTGTCTTGTATAGAACACAAGGTGGCGGTCTGACAACGTGTTCGCCATTGCTCACGATGTCTTGACATGTCCGATAACGTTTCTAGTCAGTGTGCTCGTGATCCATGAGCCATTAACCAGGGGGATTCGAGAGCGCCCGACCGTGGCCAAATTCGAAGTAAGCGCCATGTCATTCGCTGGCCACCTTCTCTTCGTTTCTAGCTGACTTCTGCGCGCTGTGAAGCAAACGCTCTGTAGGCATACGATGTACATGCCCAAGTCACTGAGACCTATGCGGTGCAATTTTGCGGCTTAGCGGCCGGTAAAGTCTGTCTGATCAAATAGTCCTTCGGCGAACATTCTAACTACTAATGTGATCTTGCCACTGTACGCCAGCAGTGCATCGAAGGCAGCCATGATCAAAGACAAACAGCCTCTGAACGTCCTCTGCACGAACAGGCCAGGTCTCACAACCGTAGATTAGGACCCCTCTCACCGTGTCATTGTAGACTCGGCCTTCCAAGGACAGACTCAAGTCGCCTCGATGCCAGAGATGGCGGCGGTTAGCACACGCAACCCGGGCCTTAGTGACCCGCAAAGAGACTTCATCCGTTAAACGGTTACTACTGGTGCACTTTCGAGGTAAACGAACCTGTCTACCACTTCCAACGAAAGGCCTGAATGGATAAGGGTGGGAGCACCTAGTCAGTCCTGTACAGAGATCTGACACTTCAAGGTAGCGAGGATCATTCCAAACTGGGAGACGGACACCTCCAACCTGCACAGCACATTTGGACGGCCTGTGATGTCGTCCGCATACTACAAGTCCCGAAGTCGGTCCCCCAAAAGCAGCTCTATGCCGCTGGATTGCCTTCTCAAAAGATAACTCCAAAAAGCAACTCGGTCAACTGAATATGACACAGATCATATGTCTAAGAAGACAATGGTCGTTAGCCGGCCGAACGTTTGACGACGCTCGAATATTTTCGACGGAGAGTAAAGATGTGGCTTAATGTGACTCGTAGATACTTAACTAACGTACAGAATCTCAAGTTGTCATCTTCAGTCTGAAGTTTGAAACATTCCGTGACAAGTTCCTGGTAACGAGCTGCTTTATGTATTTAAAACCTATTGACATCACACTTGGATGCGTTTGGCGTCAAATAGCGGGATTTTGACCATTGTACTAGTTCATCTAAACAACTTTGCAGCTTGAATGAGGAGGTTGAATTTTGATGATTCACGCTGATGATAACGTCATCTGCATATTTTAACAGAGTGGTTTTCTCTGAGCTAGGTAAGGTTGGCGGCATCCGGTTTCGGATTTGCCTGTCACTGTGGCCAGCCACATGATGCCTGCGCTTACAGAGGGACCATGGGTGGCTTGCGCTGCACCACCCACAGCTCCAACCACACACCAGTGTAAACCCGAAGGAATAAGACCGGGAGGCATGTGGAGGAGAGCCACGTTTCATCAACGGAGCCGGCTCACACTCCTTCACAGGCAAACACAAGCACACTGTATTTGGGGAATCAATGGCACACAAGGCGGTGGCTGGACCGTAGTCCGCTCCACACTGAGTGCATGGAACCACTCTTCGAGACTAGCACGACCACAAGGACCGTGCACCCCGTCTCCTCCAGCACCGATCAACTGTCTCCTGGAGCCAGTATGGACGAGGTAGTGGGTAATAGACAAGTAGGCACCTTGTCAACATGCACATCAAGCGCAGCCACACAGGGGATATCAAGCAACGGCCAATCACCTGAAACGACAAGATGAATTAAAATAAATCCAATAATACATACAGATACGGTGGCATAACTCTTCGCTAAATTAGCATATGAAGTAAATTGGTTTGCAACGAATCCGCGATAAGGAAAAATGTCCACAAGTTACTTAGAAATGCTACAAACGCAACAAAGTTACCGAAGATAAGCGCAATTAGTGTAAGCAACGTGGCTAATTAATTGAAGATTAGTTAGGTAGGCAGAACAAACCAAATAAAGTGGAATGAAATGCAGGTTAAAGAGACCTAGTTTAAGTGTAAGTTGGTTTAGCCCAACTCCGGTGAAGAAGCATCAAGAATGCAACATCAACCTCAGCATCGGGCACAAAACACAAGTGCGCATTCCATCGAACCCCTGGTAGGGCTCGAACCCGCAACTCGACTGTTGCCAGTCCGTGGTTGAGACCACTGAGCTACGGGGGACAGACCACTAAACTAGGTATACTGCTAACGTATTTAGAGAACAAAATGGTGAAAGGATTGCTCTTTGAAGGACGCCGGGTGTTGTAGTAAGTGGTGAGGAGTTTTTACCGCCAAATCTATTAACCTGTGTACGTTTGACGAACATATCCTTTAGTAAGAATACTAGGGAAGGTGGAACGGCAGACGTCTGTATATCTTGCAACACTAGTTCACGGCTAATACAGCCGAAAGCATTTCTGTAGCCGAGTATGCGCGGACACGTGTGGATTTGTCCTTACTGTTAAGCGACGACAATACTGTATGCACTAGACAAGTCATTGCGTCATGTGTGAATCTTGAAATTCTATAAGCAAACTGACCTGGGTCATTCAAACGAGACTGGGCCAGTCTTATTTCAAGAATGCTTTTCTCAGAAACCCTCAAATCCACCAAGTTGGATGTAATAACTCGATATTTACTTGTCTGTTTCTTCGGTACTGGCGTTATGCTGGCAATCCTCCAAGCATCTGCGATTTTCCTTGCTTTAGGCACATTGTGCATAATTCAGTCAAAGACTGCGCTAAGGAATTGGCACACTGCTTGAGGACGACAGGAGACAACCTGTCAGTTCCGCATGCCTTGTTTGAGTGCAGTTGGGTTGGCTTCTTGTGCAGAGATACAACGTTGACAGGAATCAATGAGTCTGTAGACCACTGAAGCGGTGCAGCTGATGAGTCAGAAAATGAGTCACTGCTGGTGCAGCATAAGTTGCGGTTTAATTCTTCCACCTCTACGTCAGAATTTGTGCTTTGACAGCGGGTGACTCCGCTGAGATGTTTCATCATCTGCCAACTCTCTCGACTGTTATCGTTTCCCATAATTATCTGGACATAGACGCATCTTTCACACGCGCAGAGAAGAACTTCACTAAAGCTGTTTCCTTGAGCCTATGAAGCTGCTTGAAATGGAGTGAAGAAAAACGGTCAGCACGAAAAAAGCATGATCTCCATCGGGCAGCAGAGATCATAACAGAGGTTCAAATAAGTTCATTTGATCACAGTATCATACATCTGTGTCGAAAAACAAACTAAAATCTGTGGAATCCATCATTTCTCTCAGCCGCGCTGTGTTTGAAGCAAGGGATTGTCTCCATTTCCTTGTATGGTCATTGCAGCGAGCGGAATTCTTTTGGTTTGTCTTACTGTAGACAACGAGGGATCGCTTGACTGTAGAATGATCTGAGCTGCCAAGTGGTGCTCGACTGCCGACCGAAAATATCCCCAGACAATTTACAGATACTAAATTCAGGGTTGCCCCCAACGTGATGGGATATTTTGAAATATTCCGTAGCCAGAGAGTTGTAAGGAATGTGGCGTCGAATCTGTTAAAATCACAGGGACTGGTCGATTTTCCCGATAACAGCAGCCGTAAATCATGGCGAACTCTGTCTGCTTCTGAGTTGTGCCAACTGGAGAATATACAAATGTTGACCATTAAAATTGTGCGGTATCCATTCAGATATTTTGGCTTACACTTTAGGGCCAAGCAGTCGACATGTGACGAGTAACAGAAGCTGGTCATTGATAAGCATCGAGAAGCGTTAATGAAGGTTATAACACCGCCGCCACGATTCCGGTAGGTGGATGGATGACAACTATATCAGCGCCATTGGTATAGAAGATGCGATCACAAACCGCATTGCAAAGGCTCAAAATACTTTTGCCAATCTCCACAACCCTTGGCGCCGCCGCGACATCACTCTCGCCATGAAGGGCACAGTTTATAATGCAGCCGTCCATTCCACCTTCCTGTACAGTTGCGAAACCTGACCCATTAGATCAGCAGTAATGAAAAGGCTAGTCACGTTCGATCATCGCTGTTTTCGCAGCTTACCTCGTGTCTGGTGGGAGCACCGCGTGAGCAATGAGCGTGTTCTGCGTCGTGTGTATTCGGTGCAAGAAGAGAGTGAACCGCTCTCAGCAGCATGATGTTACCCACCAGG